GAAAATGAAATAGAAAGAAGGACTGAAAGGTAAGATAAAAGGAAGGAAAAATAAAGTTTCGAAAGAGAAGCAAAAAGAAAGAAAGAAAGAAGGAAAGAAGAAAATGAAGTAGAAAAAGAAAGAAGGAAAGAAAGCTTGCAAAGGGAAACAGAAAGAAAGAAAGAAAAAAGAAAATAAACAAAGAAAGAAAAGAAAGAAGGAAAAATTGGAAAGAGAGAAAGAAAGAAAGAAAGAATGAAAGAGAGAACGTTGGATAAGTAAAGTACAAAGATTCCAAAGTGAAGTTCGAGGAAGGAAAGAAAGATAGAAAGAAAGTTTAGAAAGAGAAGTTGAAACAAAGAAAGAAAGAAACAAAGGAAGAAAGAAAAAAAAGAAATAAAGAAAGAAGAAAAGAAAGCTTGAAAAGTAAAGAAAGAAATTTTGGAAAGGGAAGAAAGTTAATAAAGAAAGAAAGAAAGAAAGAAAGAAAGAAAAGTGAGATATAGAGGGAGAAAGAAATCTTTGAAAGGCAAGTAGAAAGAAAGTACACGAGAAGAAAAAAGAAGAAAATAGTTTGGAAAATGAAAGAGAAAGGAAGTTTGGAAATTCAAGGCAAATAAACGAATGAAAGAAATTAAAAAAAAAGACAGAAAGCATGGAAAATAAAATAGAATGAATGAAAGAAACTTGTGCACAATCATTGCCTTTATCTGGGCTAGAACCATTCCTATTGATGTTCGTAACTTCTGATATTAACATAGTTTTTTAGTCCATACATCCAAATAGGAAAACTAGGAATAGGAAGATTGTACAGCGTTTATTCTTCAAAATAACTGTCTGAAGTAATGAAACTACACAGAAAGAAAATAGAAAGTTTACAATGAGAAATATTCCACTGTTTTAAATCTAGATTTTTGTCCTAGCCAGGCTGCGAATCAAGATTTGATATTCCAGATAATTTTTATTTGTTCCAAGGGTATCCACCACGTGGTTGAGTCCTTAGAACGTCCGCTTTCTGAACATAAGACCCGTGTTCGAATCTCACCATGGTCGATTTGTCAGGAAGGTAAATTCTTGATGCTATCAGTCTGGATTAGGCGATCCCAACGTGGGGCACCTTTCAAAAGTGCCTGGAAACCATGCCATTGTGAGTGAAATTGGGTTGACGGAACCCTTCAGAGCCGTCGATGGTTGTACTAGCACAAAGTCACAAGTCATCGTGACCGAGGTTTTGAGTGTGCTGGCCTTGTTTAGATTGTTGACCACACTAGATAACGCACTCTCTCCCAGAAACTGTGACTGAGGTCCGCACAGCATACTTGAAGGTGGGCTCTGTGGGTGTTGAACAAACGCAAACGTGTTTGATCAAGCGTCTGCAACGGGGACTAGCTTACCGTCCCAATAGACGAGCATTCTCGGATACGAGTGGCCGCTGATTCAGCAATTTAATTTTAACGTAATGTAAAACGTAGCCTACCAAAGACAGGTGAGTACCTTAGTCCATTTTAAGGTAAAAACAGTTGGCAATGTCTAATGATGGCCATTAATTCACTAATCACATCTTGAATCTGGTCTATGGTCTGATATAAGGTGTGTGTCTCACTCGATGTCGCTTCAGAATAGAACTTGCTTTCAGTATCGAACCAGGCAATCAAAGGAGACAGTTTCAGTCACATTAAAGTAAAAGGTAACTGCCCGACCGTCGAATGCAGTATTACAGCTGTACCTTGGTTGCAATCGTGGGAATTAATAGCATCACAGAGAGGTATATAAACACCCACCCTAGAGGAGTTTTAGGCAGTGTGTCAGAAATAATGTATGAGAATGTGTGGTCAACGTTGGCATGAGGGTTCTGGGGCATAATGACGAAATACTGGAGTGAAACAAGTTTTTTTTTTCATTTTTTTTATTTTTATTTATTTCTTTTTGTTAATCATTTCAACCCAAGCAAGGTGTGGATGCCAATAGTACAAAGGGGGGTTACAGTGAGTGAAATTGAAAGTGAAAGACTGAGAATAGGGAGGATTGAGGCAATGACAAAAGATGAATGGGATTAAAGAAGACAAAAGATGGCGATTGACGTTACATTTAAAATTTTGGAGATTGTATTTACCAGGGGAGCAAGTAAGCGGAAGGGAGTTCCATAGGTTGGAAGTGCAAGAAAATAAATTGTTGAAGTAGATGTGACGGTTATATTTAACTATTTCAAAAGTAAAAGGGTGGGACCTAAATGCCAGTCGAGTAGCACGCTTAAATTAATGTAGTCAGGGCACCAGCGGAAAAAAAAACTTTTCAGAGCTGTTGCCATGAAAATATTTATAGAAAAGACAGAGAGAATCTACGCCAGGACGGTAAGAAAGTTAATAAAATCGAGATGGCTGGTCAGGATTGATTACTTTACAGATTCTTCTTTGGATTTTGTAAAGAAACTCAAGATGTACAGCAGGAGTACCAGTCCAGATCTGGTAACAGTATTCAATACACGGACTAATGGTAGATCTCTAAATGTGCAAGATGAGAAAATACGACTCGAGTCTGCTGTGAGGAACTTAGTTCATTGTGACGTGCCAGACAGTTTTTTCTCGTCAGCATCCATCTTGCACATATAAATCTATCATTCGCCGTTCATTGAATATCATTGCCAGATCTGGTTTGACAAAATCCACCCAAAAGAATTCTATAATGTTATCCGTTTTGTACTATCATCTCGACATCAATCAATTTCCCACCGCCGTCACGTTGCTTCCCAGGGCCTATTTTCTATGAATATTTTAATGGCAATTGTTCTGTTGAACATTTCCTCTTAGGTACTCGAATTCATAACTATAAGCGTCGTACTAGATTGGCAGTTAGTTCTTATCATACACCTTTCTGCAAATTAATTGAAACAAAATGAATAATTCCGTTATTATTTACATTTTTTCGTATTTTTCCAATGAAACATGACCCACTGCACATGTCAATACTTCGTGTGTCCATTCCACGAAACCATTCTTCGAGATTGACCACAGATTCTCAAGAATTTAAATCCGGATAGTTTTCGTGCCAGTCTATAGTACTATGATTTGCTCACTGGTAAGTCTTGTCAGATTGTTTGTGCAGTGTTACCATTTTCGTACGCTTACTTGGAGTAATGTCCATCACAGACAATGGTCGTAGGACAACTAATCGACAGTCGAGACAATAGTGTCTGGGCATGATAAAAATATCTGATGCAATCACGGATGATGCAGTATTTTTCAAGGCTAAACAAATTTCATCATACATCCCGAAAATAGATTCATATTACTGCAGATCACTGCAAATGATTTAATGTAAGGAAAAAAAAAAAAAAAGAAATCGTTTACACCCTCTCAGTCCAGTGGATCTATTAATTTGCACAAGTGTGTAGATTGGCAGTTAGGTCTCATTATTTTAGAGTTGAAATTGCTAAATGTGACTGTAAGGTAGAATAGTTGGTTCTCTCGCACTTCCCGCTTCTGGAACTCTTTTCTGGCTTCTTGTTTTCTTTTCAAATACAATCTAGAAAACACTTCAACGAAACGTTCATCGTCATCATTGGGTGGGTCCTGTTCTTTTTTTATTGTCCTTTTCTTCTCAGTAACGTTTTCTCAGTTTCCTTCACTCTGTTGTCTTGAATCTTCAATACCCCCTTGAGTCTTAGTGGTTTTATCACCTTGCTTGGGGTGAAATGATTAAAACACTGTCCTGCATTTCATTTGTAATCTATGGTGTCATTCTGATCATAGATATTGCGTTTCTTGGTCTAATGTCATTAACGGAGACAGACATTCTTGTCCTATTTACCGTCGGAGTTATGTGTCTCATTAAGCTGATTGATGTCGTTCAATTAATTTTATTTAACTTTGCAGTTATTCACGACTATATATATATATATATATATATATATATATATATATATATATATATATGTGTGTGCGCGCGCGTGTGTATTTGTGAATTTAGGCAACAATCCTTCTTTCATGCACATTACATTGAATACGACAGACAAGGTGCTTTTATTTAGTTTTTTATACAATTTCTCATACGATCCAATAATTTTTGTCTTTTCAGATGATATATAATGTTCTTTTTATCCGAGCGCTTTCGGCTATACATTTATCCATTTTCAAGGATTAAATATTTTAACTGTTAAATAAGAAATAGTTTGTTGTATGTTTTATAAAATGTTTTCATTTTTCAAAACACGGTCAAGATATTGTGTCCATGTTTATTGTTAAAGTGTTGGCTTTTTTGTATTTATTAATAAGGCTTCCATTATTTTTAGCCTTTTTTTAATGTAGATGATGCTATTATATTAGTGTTGTCAACAAGTACGTTACGAATAGTGTCCGATAGGTTTCCATGAATATTTAAATGAGATCTAATTGAGCTATGCTCAGAATGATGTAGAGTGAGTCTGCGTGTCAAACATGTTGTAGTGTGGCCTATATATTTGATTGATTAGGAATACAATTCCTTAAAGGACATCTATCTATCTATCTATCTATCTATCTATCTATCTATCTAATCGACTCTCCCGTCGAGATTCGACGTATGAGGGTCAAGCAGATCAGTTTCCAGGAAACCGACAGCCCGACACCGGCACATGAGATTCGATTATAGTGGTGAAGGCCTCGTGCAGGACCATCCACACATTTTGAAGGGCCGAATACAGAGACCTGGTGCACAGAAGGCCACAAGGTTCCCAAACGATCCTCCGCAGGTTTTGAATTCAGAGTTGTCCTTCTCCTAGACCAGTTGCCATCCAAGGCTATAGAACCCAGTCTGTCCTGCTATTTTACCCATAGTTGGAGGGAGAGGAAGAGGATTCATACCTTTCCCAAAGGTATTAGCACGTAAGTGAATGTATATTCTTAACCAGTCCTACCAGTAAACACTATCATATCTACTCAACTATATATATATATATATATATATATATATATATATATATATATATATATATATATATATATCCAAATGAAGAGAAAGAAGAAACAGATTTAAAATCCAAAGTTCTTTAGCATCTACTTTTTTTTTTTTTTTTTTTTAAAGAAGTGCTCAATACAAGATAGAATATAATATTTTTAATGAAATTTTTATTTAAAAATATTTTATATTGCGACACGGAAATTTCTGTGTTTCGGCACTTACAATTTTTTAGCCCGTTATCAGGCAATGTTCGGTAACTTTTGATGAAAATGATTTACTTTTGAGCACAGAAAAGAACAGGTTTGTTTATTAAACAGTTAAATAGGAGGGGGGAAACCAGATTTTAAAATCTTATGGGTGTGTCTCTTTTGACTAATCAAAAGACAGCTCAAAGCTAACGCAGAAAAGTTAAAAATATGTTAGATGTTGGGGAGTATTCATACATGTCTCGGGGAACTGTCATATTAAGACACGACCTCATAATTCCGATTAAGAATATACATTTAAGTTACGAAGAAATAATCTGAGAGCTATGAATATCTATAATAACAGTTTTTTAAAAATTTATTTTTATATATTTTAGAACTATCTTAAAAGGGTTTCTGGTAAGATTAAATCATTTTTATATAATTTTGAACATAAAATACAATATATATTTTATTTAATGGGTGGCAATATTGAAATTAAAAATTAAGAATTTAAATCAATATTAAATGTAACATTATGAAAAATCCATTAACCATTTTCTAACGTGAACGTTGTACAATGGCTACATATTACAGTCGGTTCATTTCGCTGATTTACTAAATCATTATTTTTAAGAAACATAGCTTTTCATGTAGACACAAGGGACATGGGTCATTTAAGGACTTACATATTGTCGGTTTTTTTAATATTTTCCATTTTAATGTGTGGGGAGGTTAGTGATTTCTTTTAGATACCAAAAATATTTAGATAGGGATGTTCGGTTACGGTACGTATCGTTACTAAAGGAAGAAATATGTTGGTACAATCTTAATTTAAAAGAGTTTTTGTGCTTCCAATATAAAATTGCGTTTTCAGTTAATAAATAATAGATTCAGTAAGATATTTATTTTCCAAAGGACACTATGGAATTTCTACAATTACATAATTTATTTTCAGAATTATTGATTTCCGTTTTGGAATTACTATTATTTTTACTTAGGTTGAAGTGTTTATTTAAAATTTCATTATTATGTATTTTTATAATTTTTTCTAGTTAACAAAGTGAAAAGTTTTCTTGTGACTAAATTTGTTATGTTGGTGCGACGACACATGCGCACGAACGAGGGATGTAGGAAATTTAAACTTTAATTTTTTTTTTGTTTAACTTAGCCGATTTCATTTAGATTCTTTTTCCTTTTTTTTCATCACTTATGTATTCCACACTGTGATAGATCTGCCAGGAATGATGGAATGTTGTAAGAGCCCGGATGCAAATTTATTGTACATGACCTTGCAATTAAGTCACTCTCTAGACATTTACATTATAGTGATTTATTTACTCCTTTGATCAGTGTATTATTTTTTAAGATCAAAATTGCGATCAATCTCGTTACAGTGGCCAACAAACAGATTTGACACATTATTTTGTAAAATGTCCCTTTTCTGTTCATATAATCATTTAGTTAGATTCCTTGATGTCTATCCTATGTATTTTTTACGACAATTATTACAGGCGATTGAGCAAATTTCTCCTTCCAGTTTTAGCTCATTGTTTTGTTTAGTACTAAGTTTTTTTATTGTTTTAGATGTAGTAGTAACAATTTTTATGTTGAGTTCAGAAAGATTCTTTACTAATTGTAGATATGATAATGTTCACTGGTAGGGCAATATAATTTTTTGATTCATTGGGTTTGTCAGGAGGGGCCTATTTCAACTACGAAAACTTATTGAACTTATTCATTCTACGAATCTTATTCAGCCCCGGTATATAGACTGAGTTGTGTCGCAGTTATAAATTTAACTGTAGAAAAATTAATACAGAATTTGTCCATTTATCCACACACTCATAGTAATATACACGCTGACACACATCATACTCACTCACTCCCTAAACCAAATAACACACACACACTTAACAGAGACACATGACCTTTCCAGAAACCAATAAAACTGTCAAAATGACCAAGGGAATTCAGAGCAGCATGAATCCACCCAGCTCTTATCTTAAATAACAACATAAAAGAGACTGCTTGACCAACACCAGAACTGACCAAAATTCATGTTAAAAAAACATATGAAAAAACAAATGAAAACTACAGACAAAAGTTCATTTTCTCCATCAAGACATTCATTTCTGTAGTTCACTGCTACCAGTAAGCAGAAAATTATTTTTCTCCTGTTGGCCGAAACTAGTCGAGAAATCTAAACGAAATAATAATAAAAACGAAAAAATATTAAGATACAACCCAGTGTGTCTTAAGATTATAATTTTAATATTTTTATTGTTCAATATATATATATATATATATATATATATATATATATATATATATATATATATATATATATATTATCGCGCATTGAGTGCTGGTGTTAATAAGATAGTGTTGATGCAATATAACAGGGCTATAACCTATATATTAATATATATACATACGTCTGAGACTTTTATGCAGAACACAATCTTCAGGCGCTGAGTTAAAACTGACCTTTAAATAATTAAATTTTGTTAAATATATTTGGTTGTAGCAATGGTGAAGTAGTCAATATTTTACACGCTGATTGTTTCTTTAAATTTAGTATTTAAAATCAACGTTTTGACAACCAAATATATTTAACCTACCATTTGTTATTATTATTATTATTTGTGTAAGTTATGTTTCCTGCTTTGTATCCTGTAGAAACGGGTCCAAACTATGCTCCTTAGGACGTATCCGAGAATTGTCATTTAATTGACAGCACTTTTCTTAGTATATGGGATATTCCCAGGCGGGCGATCTTCTGGGCAATTTGTATGTTGATGTTACCTGGAACACTGTTAATAAAATTGTCCATTTCTTTTCTTGTGAGGCTCAGAGCTCCGATTACTATTGGTACAGTCTCAGTCTTTATTCCCCACATCCCGTTAATCTCGATCCCCAGGTCTTTGTATTTGGAAAATTTCTCGATAATTTTCATGGAGGTGTTTCTCTCAGATGGTACTGCTATGCCAATAAGCATACACTTCTTGAATTTCTTGTCTTTTATGATAATATCAAGTCTGTTGGCTTTTATTTCCCTGTTAGTTTGAATTGGCATGTCCCAGAGGATAGTTACATCATTATTTTGAAATAATCAGGCTTTCTGTTTCAGCTTTCAACCCGGTGCTCTTCAGCCAATGATGTGTTTTCTGTTGGTCCACATCTGTTTTTTTCGTTCTTTTTAGGTATTTGCCATACGACGCCTTTCCTCCCAGATTTTTTTTTTTTTTTTTTTGATTTCATTTGGCGAAGTTGTTTTGCTTTCTGCTTTATTCGTTTGGCATAAATTGTATTCGTTTCGTTTCTTGTTGGTGGAGTTTCAGGTACATTTAGATGTTTCTTGAAGATTGCAGCTTCTTTGTTGATTGAGCGGATTTGGTGTTTTAGGATTTTCGGTTTACAGGAGAGGGTCATTGATTTTTGTGAGGTATGCTTCTAATTCGCTTGTAGTTTTTGGAGTTAATCCAAATTGGATTAGACCTTGGTCGCCTCCAAAATTATTATTAAGTAGAGAATGGTAATGAGAAAGACTTGACTGTCATCGTAGTTATGCTAACATTCTTTGTTTTGTTTTACGGCATATCAACACCTCAATGGGTAATTTAATACCGACAACATTTTTATTGCTCGTAATTTCTTTTTTCTTCAAAAACGTATTGCTGGTAATAAATTTTTTCAGAAATCTTTTGCTGGTAATAATTTTTTTCTTCAAAATTTTATTGCTAGTAATAACTTTTTTTACAAAGTATTTCTGGTATTAAAACCTATTTTTACACTTTCATACTGGCTTAACTATTTGCCCATAGCTGGGACCCTAACAGGTGCTACCACCCTGAGTTAGGATGGACCTGGGAACACCAGCAATTAAAAGGTGGTTCCACGCTTCTCAAAACCTCCTGATCAGAGGCCTTGCTGTTGGACGTAGTTTATCGTCTTACCCTGGACGCGGATGTAGTTTATCGTCATACCCGGGGCGGTGACGTTCTTAGACCTGCCTGTTAATATGATTACTTACTCCAACAGTTCCTTTAAAGGAAAATAAATAAAAATTGAAAACTGAATAACAGGAACTTAGAGATAAAACGAATCTTATCGGGAAACAATTAAGGAAAAGACCAAAGTAATTTTAAGCATATGTCGGGGAATTTGTAACTACCTCGACCACTGGGTAAGCTATTCTGTATTCCTTGAAGATATCTCTTTCATTTGGTGTTGTCGTTCGTATTTTCCTTGAATACATTTTTGCTACCCGGCTCTCACATCATATACCCATTTCATTTGTGAAGCTCCCCACACGGATTCAGTGTCCAGTCGCGCCGCTCCGCCTCAACGAACTGCAAAACGAAAAGTTCGACATTTCTTCGTGTGTCAGTCGAGTTAACATGTGTCATTCTCCGTGACATCTACAGCAAAATTTCGAGACATTTCCCTATCTTCACTCCCAAGCCCAAACCAACCAAGTCTACACCCTCCCCGATCTTAGGCAGTTAAGGTCATACCTCTCTCAACTACTGACCCCTGTTAGTACGCACGTGCTTGCCATGTTGCCGCTTGTGATATGGCAAGGCGAATATACATCGTTCTTTTCCCAATGAACAGGCAGTTTGTGTATCGAACAACGACAGATGTGTTAACCTCAACAGAAAATGAAGAAAATCGAAACATTTTCCGATTATTATTATTATTATTTTAATAATTTCACCCAAAGCAAGGCAATAAAGCCACTAAAGCAATAGGGGTTACTGAGTGTGAAAGAATAAAAAATATTATTAAGCGGCGAAAAGAATAAAAGAAGAGGAATCAAGAAGACAGGAGATAACGATTGACACTGCATTTAAATTTTTGAAGATCAAAGTTGCCTGGAAAGAGAGTTCCATAAGCGAGAAGTGCAATACAAGAAACTGTTAGCATAGAACTTACGGTTACATCTAGCCATTTCATCAGTAAAATGATGAGACCTAACCGCCAATCTAGACCTGCGCTTAAAGTCATCAATTTTAGATACCATAGAGGAAAGTAATATTTATTTTGAATAACACCAATAAAAAGAAGTCTAGGAGGCGTGATTGGGGAAGGCTGGTTTTCAACCTGTTTTATCTTAAACTTAGCTAGCCACAATTACTGACCAGATGATACCATATTATTCCTTACACCAAAAAAACACCTTCTTACTTATCATTCTTGCTACAGCCACCATAATACCTCAGAGTCTCTATGAAGTCCTTATGTACAATTTGTCTGTGGAGATGGGGAATAAAAATAACAACTTTTAAAATGAAAGTATTTATAGAAAAAGGAAACATTACAGTGTGAGAAAGCGACTGAAGCCGATATAACAGGTTAGGACCAATAACATTGCAGATTTTTTATTTTTGGGGATTTTATCAAGAATTTCTAAATATATAGCAGGAAGGCCAGACCATACGTGGCAGTAATATTCGAAGCATGGACGAATGGTAGACTTATAACTATGTAAGATAGATTCTGGTGAAAAAAAAATGTCTAGCACGACAGCGATCCAACTTTCCTAGCAGCAAACCTGGCAATGGATTCAATATAGTCTTTCCACTTCATGTCAGCAGAGAACATTAGCCCGAGAAGACACAACGAGTAACTTTTCTGGAGGTTAGCATCAGCCATGTTGATGGAAAGCAGAAAGAGATCTCGTAGATGATTAATAGAGGGCAGATTTTATTTTGAAGCGTTAAAATGAACAAGCCATTCCTTGCCCCCGTTAACAGTAGGTTTTAGGTGCTTTTTTAGATCAGCTGCCAGTTTGACCCCATCGAGCCGATCAGACTTGCTATTACGACAGGAGTAAATAGTTTTTTATCATCAGCATAGATAATGAGCTGAGAACTGATGACATCAGGAAAGGTCATTGATGAGAATTGGGAACAACGTAGAACCCTTGGGTACACCTGCATCTATTCAAAAGATCTAGATTCCTCAAAATAGGAAGAATGAAAAAGAAAAAAAGACACATGAAAAATACAAAAGCGCGGGAAAAAAATAAATATGAAAAAAAGGCGGGAAGATTAACAAAAATGCCGGGAAAGCTAACAAAAGATCAGAAGTGGGTAGCTAGTTCGAAAAATTAACAGCCCAACTCAATCACTTTAGTAATTTTAATTTAATTTAACTTTTTATCTGTGGAAATCATTTATGGATAGAAATTGAAACTTGCAATCGTAAGCAAGATTTAATTTGTCTATATTTCTGAGATGAGGTATTATGGACATTATTTACATTATTCGGACTATTGTCCTCATCTTTGTCGCTATATTTATCACTATTTATGCAATATGAGTAAAAACATGCAATGATAACAGCCAAATTGTACTGGTAAAAATGGTTGCTGAAGACATTAGGTTTATAATACCCAGAAATTCATACCCAGATGTCCTCAAGGGTGATGAATATGGCGACAAAGATGAGGACAATAGTCCGAAAGATGTAAATAAAGATTTAATTTGTTTAACGGCATTGTTTAACTGCATTTGTAATTTTAGGTGGACGACCTGTATATTTTCTGGTGCCATACGATTCAGGGTCCTTTAGATAATTTCTCAAAACTGTTCAGGACCTTGACAGTTCTCTTGCAATGAAACTTACAGATTTTATTTCCAGTTTATAGACAGAATTTTGTCCTTCTTCATTTTCATTAAGGATGGAGTTCTTAGGCATTTTGCAGTAACTGTATTCAATTATGAAATGTTTAAATAAGACTCACGTGGCTCAAAATCATGATCAGAGTCTTTTTTATCATCTGCGTATGCACTTATTCTTTTTTTTGGCATTTTCAAGTAAACCAGATATTCAAATTTTCAAAATTGTCTTATAATTATTTCCATCCTCGAAAACAGTTTTGTTAATAACTTTTTTGATGGAAAGTCGTTATAAAATCGAATATGTATACTAATACCATCGAATCTAGGTATTGTTGGTAATTCTATTAAATGAATTTCTGGTCATATTGCTTTCAAATTCTATTGCTGGTCATTTTGCTATAAATATGTATTGTTGGTAATTTTTTAATATAAATATGTAATTTGTTTTATATAAATATATAATTTTTTATATATTTATATGTAAAATTTTTATATATAAATATGTAGTTTTATACTTTCATAGTGTTTTGTTTTAGTTTGGGGATTTACTATTTGCCTATAGCTGGGAACCTAACAGGTGCTACCACCCCGGATCAGGGTGAATCTAGGAACAATAGCAATTAAGGTTTCCACGCTTTTCAAAACTTCCCATCTCCCGATCAGAAGCCTTGATGCCGGATGTAGTTTATCATCGAAAGCAAGAAATCTGCGTTCCCAAGTTTCAGAATTCAGTATGTAATGATCAATAAAAAGGTATTGTCAATGGTCAAGAATTACTGCAAACATTACTTCTTTGAGATGACGTTAAGGCTTAGATGAAGACTAGCAGCATGGCCCGACTCATACAGCAATCGCTATCACTTGACTTTAAATATTTTTGCCCTTCCTTGCCTTTAAACGAGTGCCCTTTGCCGTGCTGATGTTGCTATATGCCTTACTTCTTGCCTATCTCACACTGCTAATTTTTTCGAAGCGATATTAAATCTGTTACGAAAAAAGAACTAAACAAAATGAACAAAAAACGATCAGCTTTAAAAAAGGACTCGTAACTGGAAAAAACCGAATGAAAAAAGAATATTAACAACAAATACTTTTTCACACCCAACCCAGTTTTGCGGAATCACAATCAACGTTGAGTTTAAGAAAGCGAATGAGCCAATTAGAGTAAAGTGCCATGCAGATTTAAATTTTTCCCACTTGTGACGAATGCAGCTAACAATTTTTTGCATGCTAGCATGCTAATTAACATTCGTGTCAGTCAGCTGCTGGCTCTCACGCTGGCCAATAGAATCTTCCTGCCTATTCGTGTCAGCCAGCTATAGGCTCTCACTCTGGCCAGTGCAAAATGGCTGCAAACTACATGAAAACTGCCGTAGAAGCATGAAAAATCGATTATTTCCACCATCGATGGGAGTTGGGAAATGCAAAGTCGGTCTTGGCCTTCGCGCTAACTTGGAGCATGTGCATGTAAATTTTGGTACAAATCGGTCGAAAATTGCGGCCGTGCATTCCTTACAAACACACACACACACACACATCCTGCCTTTTATAGAGAGACTAGCAGTAGAACCCAGCGTTGCCCGGGGATGTAACAGTAAGAGATCAAGTATCGACCATCATAAAGATTGAAAAATAAAATTGACAAAGATTATTGTTTATGGTTGACGGACACGCATGTCTTAATTAGTGTTTTTTTTTTGTTTTGTTTTTTTTTTTACGAATTGGTGAAACACAAACTCAAACTCAAACTCAAACTCAAGCAAAAACATTGTTTTCAATTGTTATGAGTCTACCGATTGAATAGAATTTTATTATAAACAATTGTCTTGTAAATGGAATTTTTAAAGCATTCTGAATGTAAAAATAAATTAAAAAAGTGTGCAAGACAATAATAAACACTACCTGCCAAAAAAAAGTGAAGTTTTGTTGAAATCGGTTGAAAAATGGAGGAAATCCGATCCCATATATAAACGAACACACACAAACACAAACAACCTGGGTTTTATAATAAGTATAACTCGATATGAGTTGTCCCCCTTTCATTCTCGCGATGCCTCTTAATCGTGTTTTCAAATTGATTTTGTGCAAAAACAATTGTGTTTTTCCAATTTTTGGCGCTGTCAGAACCACCGCAAGGTAATTTTACGTAGTCCTGTGAAGATTTGTTGAAATCGGTTGAAAAACGTAGGAAATCCGATCCAATATATAAACGTACACACACACACACACACACACACACACACACACACACACACACACACACACACACAAAATCTGCGTTTTATAATAAGTAAGATTTTCCAAAAGAAATGTATTAAAAATCAATAAGAGAAGGCATATCGTTGGTTCAAGTATCATTGCAGGCGTTACGGACAAATTATGGTTAATATATAACTTAATGTATAATAATGTATAATGTGGAAAGACTATACAGCGTCATTTGATATTTTTTGTTTTTTTTTTCTTTCTAACATTCATTTCCCAAACCTTCTTTTGTAATTTTCTTATTTCTTTCTACGTATTTTTCATCCTTTACTTCATTCATCTTGTCTTTCTTTTTTTTTTTACTTCTTTGAAACATTTTTTTTTTTCACATCCGGAATTACTTCCGTTTTGTCTTCTTCAGTTTATAATCGTTCTTTTTTCTTCTTTTTCTTTTTTTGGGCTTAACTGACCAAATTTTCTTTCTTTCTTTCTTTCTTCTTCACTTTCCAGTCTTTCTTTCTTTCTTTCTTTCTTTCTTTCTTTCTTTCTTTCTTTCTTTCTTTTCCAATCTTTCTTTCATTCTTTCTATATTTCTACTTTACTTTTCAATAATTTTTCCTTGTTTCTTTCTTTCTTTCTACTTCACTTTGCAATCATTTTTGTGCTTAACTGTGCAATTTTTTCTTTTTTTTTCTACTTCACTTTCCAGTTTTTCTTTCTTTCTTTCTTTCTTTCTTTCTTTCTTTCTTTCTTTCTTTCCAATCTTTCTTTTATTCTTTCTATATATCTACTTTACTTTTCAATCATTTCTTTCTTTCTTCTTCACTTCCGAATCTTTTTTTTTTTTTTTTGTATTTAACTGTCCATTTGTTCTTCCTTCCTTCCTTCCTTCCTTCCTTCCTTCCTTCCTTTATTTATTTATTTCATTTTACTTTCCAATCTTTCTTTCATTCTTTCTATATTTCTACTTTACTTTTCAATCATGTTTCTTTCTTTCTTTCTTTCTTTCTTTCTTTCTTTCTTTTTCTTTCTTTCTTTCTTTTCTGTCGTCCGAAGCACAATAAAATTCTAGCTTTTGAGTTACATCCATAACATACTTTATATTTTTCTATGCATAAAACATATTCTTTTATTCCCTAAATAGACATCAGACTTTTTCAATGGCCAATGAATTTCTTTAAAATGTCTTGGAAACACCCGCGTCTTATACAAATGTTGATTTTCTCCATCTGATTTCGATACAATTCTACATTGAAAATGTCTTTCATGAACCAGGAATGAATTGATAGATTATTTAAATCTATCATACAGTTAATTCTCTCAATTAATTTTAAGTATATACGGTCAGGGGGGAGTGGACTTTCATTTAGCGTCATTGCCCAAAATAAGAGACTTGAATGAATATTTTTGGAGTAAATGCTTGAAAATCGACCGGACAAAATCATAGTTCTGTTAGACATTCAAATATTAGAAATCTGTTTGTATATTAACTTGAACGAATAATAATAATAATAATAATAATAATAATAATAATAATAATAAAATAATAATAATAATAATAAAAAATAAAAAAAATAAATGAGGGAAAAAGAGAGAGAGAGAGAAAAACTAACAAGAACAAACTGACGAAAATCTATTCAAATGAAGGCCGTTTGGTTGGTTGGGGAAGGTGGAAGTCAAGGAGGTGTCTATTTAAAAGTTTTATTTTGATGGGTCAATGATAAAACCTTGAGTGAGAGTAAGTAATCAAAATATATGACATATATGAAAAGACAAAATGCATTATTGTCAACATCGAAAGACGAGATACGTTTAGATAATAAGATATCATGAAGATAATGTCACACACACACACACACACACACACACACACAAATATATATATATATATATATATGTGTGTGTGAAAAGTGTATATAAATATAAATAAATATATATATGTACAGTGTAACCCGGATATAAGAGACCCGGATATAAGAGAAACCCGGATATAAGAGAGATTTTCTCTGGTCCCAAATTAGAGCCTGAGTTAATGTATATAAAATAGACCAAACCCGGATATAAGAGAAACCCGGATATAAGAGACTTCTTCTCCGGTCCCGACAACTCTCTTACATCCGGGTTACACTGTATAATTATTTATATATTATATGCGCGGTACTTATTAGAAAGCGCTCAATATCAGAGATAGAGCCAACATATTTGGTTGGATAGATGTGAGTTCGTGAACCTGGGTTTCACGCTTTAGCGATCGTCAGACAAACTGATTAATGTTTTAAAAAATTTGGGTTTATGTAGATTGCGTGTATTGGTGTTATTGTGGAAGTGGTGGGGGAAATTTCGTCGTTTTGTCATTCATCGTACTAACGCAAACATCGATGTATGCAGACACATATACATACTTCGTCGTCCGTCGGGACTCATACATATAAATTAAACTCATACATTAAGTTATTAAATTAAACTACCCTCTCACCCAGCACATTAAATATTAAATATCACCATATAAATTAACCAATAAGGATTACAAAGTTCTACCTGTCACATACACACAGTCACCAAAAACAAACAAATAACCAACTTTAAATATAACAAATAAACCCCCATTTTTTTTCAAAAATTTAAAAATAAATATAAATAATAATAATTTTTACCTATCGTAATTTTACACAAACCCCACCACACGTGTATACATACATGCGAGGAAATATTATTCAGCGGAAAAATAAATAATGTGACATGTATACATTCACGAAACATTCACGAGACATTTCCGCCACACTCTCAATGTTTAAATTTCAACATTTCAACATACAAATGCATATGTATAGACACAACACCACCCGTATAGATACATATGTCATATCCGAAACTGCCCACATATGTTTATATATGTATGAGTCCCGACGGACGACCAAGTGTGTATATGTGTCTGCATACATCGATGTTTGCGTTAGTACGATGACATAAGCGACAAAGTTTCCCCCACCATTTCCACAATAACACCAATACACGCAATCTACATAAACCCAAATTTTAAAAAAAATTAATCAGTTTGTCTGACGATCGCTAAAGCGTAAAACCCAGGGTCACAAACTCACATCTATCCAACCAAATATATATATAAATATACATATATATATATGAAGAAAAATATACGAAAAAAACAAACAAAAATCCTAATATGCAATTATGCTGTTTTAATGTTAATATAATGTCAACATCGGACGTTTCGGTCTAATAGACCATCTTCAGGACATATTCATAAAACATAATTAACATTAGACTATATTTAATTCAACATGAAAAGACGATGGACATAAGAGCAAGACTAATCAAAGCAGATAACTGAAATTTTTCAAGATCAGTGTTCCGTTTCAATATGATCACGTCGGCGTCACGTGGGCGATGTTGTGAAAACGTATTCCTAAAATAGAGTATTTTGAATGAAAAATGAAAAGAATTTTATTTTAATCTAAAACTTATATGTACGTTTGTCGAGCATTAATCTGGCTAGAAAAGGGGAAGGCAGGTCTAGTATTCACCGTGCGTGAGATAGATATTATGCCTGCCTCATAAATCCGCCTAAGATTTTTATTATGAAAATATTTTTATATATATATATATATATATATATATATATATATATATATATATATATATAAATATATAAATATTTAAAAATCCGTCATAAAACCGTTTTTGTTGACCTCTTGTTTACTGCTACTCTTTCGTAACGTTTTTTCGCGGTTTATTGTTTTGACCATTTATGGTCACGGTTGAATTTGTGTGTGTATTTATGTTTGGGCATGCGTGTGTTTATGCTTGTGCCTATGTATGCTCATGTATGTATATATATGACGTTATCACTTGGTAATGACTGGCCGCTTGTATCCGAGTATGTCTATCTACTAGAGCACGTAGCAAATCCCTATTTCAGACGGCCGCTCAGGCGCATTTGTGTTTGCCCAACACACACGGAGTCCACCCGCGGTTTATACTGCAACTATACTGAAAGGACAGTAATTACAGTTTCTGGAGGAGAGCGCATTATATGGCGGGATCAACAGTCCGAAAGCCAGTATACCCAGACCCTCGGTCACGCTGATTTCGTGCTAGCGGAATCACCGACGGATAGATCTGTCTATCTAATTTCACTCGCAAGGCTTGGGTCGACCTTTGGTATGGTTTTTAGGATCTTTCCAAAAGTGCCGCACGCTGTGAGCGCCTCCTCCAGACCGATAACATCATTTTCCTGACAAATTTTGAGGTTCGAACCTGGATTTCATGGTCGGAATCACTCATGGCAGAGCTCTATTGAATGCGTTTGTTTAAAAGGAAGAGTTTAAAAAAATAATGAATCTAACCTTGAAGAAGTTAAGATAGAAGTGACCCATAAGCATCCTCTTGGGAGTTTTACAAAATAGCGGTTCTCAGGATGAAGATATACGAATGGAACTTCTTCTTTACCAATGGAATATGAATGGAATCTGGACGATTTGTCCCAGTGTACGTGGGTCTTAACTGTAGAGGTATAAACTGGTGCGACTAAAGAATGTAACTCGTCATAACATTTTCCATGGAAATAGCGATAGAGTAGAGAGAAGCTTGCAACTTTTCGTCTGTGGGGAAAGGGGTGGTATAGTGGAAGCCGAGTAAACGTTTTTGAAGTCTGTCAAAGCTGGAAAGTGAAGATTGTATTGCGTCGGCGCAGATGGTATAATGAACACCAGATCTCTGTGGCTTCAAACCGGACTTACCGTTTCTTGTTACATCCGGGGATGTTATTCTCTTTCTGTTATTTTATCTACAGGCGTTTGTACGAAATAGCGACTGAAATAACTTGATTCCGCGCCAAAATGGTTTTTTGCATCAAGTAATAAATATATTTTTAGTTGTTTACGCATAATTTATAGAGTAACTTATTTCAACCAGTGCAAACAATGGTGTCCAATAAATTCCTTACGCTGATGTAAAAGTAGACACCAGTAACATATATTGAACCATGACAGAAAAACCGTAGAAGTGTATATGAAACTTACTCGGCATTTACTCCTTGTAAAATCAGTCAAATTTAATAAATCACTTACAAGTTTTTCGTCGTGGGTATGACGTTGAATTACATCCGCGTCCTGGGTAAGACGATAAACTACATCCAGCAGCCAGGACTCTGATCCGGAGGTTTTGAGGAGTGTGGAACCACCTCTTAATTGCTGGTGTTCTCATGTCCACCCTGACCCGGGGTGGTACCACCTGTTAGGGTTGCAGCTATGCATAAATAGTTAGACCGCCAAAATGGGGTCGAAACAATATGAAAGTGTAAAAATAGATTTTAATGCCAGAAATACTTTGTAAAAATGATTACCAGCAATACATTTTTGAAAACAAATATATTACCAGCAATAAAAATTTTGTTAGTATTAAATAACCCATTGAGGTGTTGATATGCCGTAAACCAAACCAAAACTTACAAGTCTTACAAAAGATTTGCTTAAAAAGCTAATATCATTTAGAAATATTTTTATATCATTAACCCAATCCAAGGCTCAAGAGCCACATATGGTAGAGTGTCACAGACTGACGTATGTGATATGACTTCAAGAGGAGATCGAATTAAGAGCATTAAGACTATGATGACAAAGTGAGATAGAGATTGATCATTGATTTGAGAACACGTTAAGATTGTAGTTTTCTGGGAAGTATCCACGAAAATGATTTTTACGTAAAGTGGTAGCTTCCGAGGAAAAAAACTGAGTAGATCTTCTTCCTTACAATTGGAAGATGGAGGAAATATAGGTGATTCGACTCTGTGGACGTAGTATCGTGAGTTGTAGCTGGAAATTTCTGAATTGGTAGAATTAAAGCGTTCAGCGTATCTTGATAGAACCACCGTGTCCTTGTAGGCGATTAATTACATTTCCCCCCTATCTCACAGACGAATCGCCGCAAGCCCTCTCCTTCCTCTATCGCTATTTACATCGAGCGTGTTCAAATGAACAATTACTCCTTAATTTTCCCAGTCCTAACCTTAATGGCTAGAAACACCATGCCACGCAAACTATAG